ACATGAAGCTGTATCTGTACATGGATAGGTATCTGTACATGAATCTGTATCTGAATGGGAATAAAGATCACGACTTGGCATGAAATCAGCACTGTAAATATATTGTACCAGTCTGTCTTTTGTAGCTTTGTCTGACATGAAATCTTAACTTGCATTGTTTGTAAATATATCTATAGCCACCTATATATATTATTCAATGGCGTCTATTTTAAAACGACAATATTTTAGCCACTGCAACTGTTTTTATATAATTGAGATTTTTAGTACATGTAAATTCGGTTTTGATTCAGTGTCATTCACACTGCGAAAGCGAATAAAGTCATCTTGTATCTTGTATTTTTACTACGACAGCTTCGTCAGAAAATGCACTGCAGTTGCTACCTACAGATGTACCTTTCCACTTCTTCTCACATTAACATGCATTGTGTGTCTAATTCTCACACGGTTGCAATTTCAGTCTGTATGTCACAGCATTATTGTCTAGCTGCCTTGGTGCACGAACGTCAAACCATTGAGTCGTAATTTCTATCCCAAAATCCAATAACAACACCAATTTAGCATCCATTTAGTTTTTTCTTTTATTACGTCAGGAACAACTCATGTATTTTAATACAGAGTAGTTATGAAATTCAGTCTTTCTTGTTTTCCATTTCATCTTGCCTGGGTAATTTTTTAAAATCTTTTTTATTCAAACATGATTATTATTCACAATGTAACAATAAAAGAGATACAGAGTTAACATACAATCGTACATAATAATACATAACAAACAAAGACGTTTTTAACAGGAGTTATCTGGAAAAATATCAAGTAAAGTGTTGCCATTGTTCGTTATGTTCTATTTCTATGGTTTTGTTTAGTCTGTTTCTGAAAATAGTGACGTTTGGATTGAAATTTTTGATGAAACATGTGTAAATACAATATTTAGCGATAAGAATACGGTGTGCAAGTGCACTAACATGGTGAGGGTTGTCAATTATACCGTAAATAATCATCTTCACTTCTACTATTAGGTCTTGTTTGGTACATCGTTTCCACCATTGCCTGGGTAATACAGCATCACCCCTTTTCTGAATTTCCGCAATGGAATATCCCTAATCAGGAAACCATCCGTAGGCTGGATCGCAGAAGTACAGAGGACTCACTTTACCGTCACCATCTGGCAGTGGGTGACCTGGAGTGAAATCAGAAGATATTACACTACTGGAAAAAGGTACGTTATTGAGATAAAATCTGTGTCCATAATATCACCAGGGTCCATAATATCGCCACCTTGAGACACAGTGTGCTTAAAGATATTTTTACTGCAGCATACTTTTGGTATGCACTCCTTCACACATCAAATGTACATACCTAGGGTATGTTGCAGTAAAAATACCTTCCAGCACACTGTTTCTCAAGGTGGCGATATTATGGACCCTAGTAATATTATGGACACAGATGTTACATGTTCACAATATGTCATGAAAGTATAGTGGAAGCGTTGATTTAGGTTATATAGGAAATGTGTGCGTATTATTAAGGACTATACATACAAACGGGGGTTGTTAAATGTGCATATATGTACAGCATATTGTGAGCTCTGGTGCACGTATAACCGACCCATGGAGTTCTGTCCAATTTTTCACTCAGTCTCCTCTAGTTCCTGAGGACCACCTTGTGTGCCATTTAGTATCATTTGTCTTATATCGTAGGCAGACAGTTGAAATCAAGGTACAAAGTGCACGGTATGTTCGTAGTTATTGATTTAGATTTCATTAAGGTTTTTGACAAAGGCGAATGCAAGATATTCTTTGGCAACGATCATAATTGATTGCAAATGTGCAGATAGCAATAATCATCCATGTGATGCTGTGGTGTTAAGTCATTTATCGTTGGCAGCCAGTTGAACTGAATGTACAAAGTGCAGGACATGTTCTTAGTTATTGATTGAAATTTCATTAAGGTTTTTGACAAAAGCGAATGGAAGATATTCTTTGGCAACGATCATAATTGATTGCAAATGTGCAGATAGCAATAATCATCCATGTGATGCTTTGGTTTTAAGTCATTTATATCCCCACAACTCTCTTGAAAAAATTGCCTTCTATATGTGATAGAAATGTCCCAACGGATGTTTTCCAATCATACCATACCAACGCCCTTCCCCAAGTGTCATTTGCAAGACTTCCTGAGGTGAATAGTTTGCCAACATTACACGATGACCCTAGACTTTGCACAACTACGAAAATCGTTACAAAATTCTGTAACCAGTCAACGTCTTGTATTATTTTTCTTTTATTGATATGATATGAATCTTTATTGCATGTTCTTGCCCAGATGGGCTAAATTGACAAGAGGATGTCCAGTATGTAAAACATGAGTATTTCATACTGGTACGCTATATTCTAATGCAAAGTGCTAGGTATCTATACATTACAATAATACTATAAACAACCTATCATCTACTGTTAGTTGCCCTTCCTTCTCTCTTTATAAAAACATTTGGAAACATAATTACATTAATTAATTTATTACTCGTTTATCTGAATTACAAAACACAAACCTGATAGCGAATTATTTCCTGAGTAGACGGAAGACCAGGGGAATGTGATAATTATCTTGAAATGACTGCATATTTATTAAGAAAATTGGCGTGTTATAGACTTAGGGTCCCGTGAGTCACAGTGGAGGTCCCATCCATTGAATGTTATTACCATTGACTATATATTTGTTGTATGGAGTCGAGTGTATGTATATAATATGTTCCAGGTGGCTATGTCATGGTCGGTAAATAATTGATGAGCCCCGCTTATGTTTCATCATCGGTCCGGAAATATCACTCAATCGGGGGAACCGTAGAGCGGCCCATCGATGAATTTGTCAGCATGTCTGGGGAAAATAACTTGTTTTATCATGTTTACCGAAGGAAAACATGTTGTTTTTGCTCAGTTTCCTCCTCTGCAAACACAAGAGGTCAATGACCTGGGCCAAACAGTCTATCACCATGGTAACTAGAGTTGGGTTACATCATGTTGCAATTTTATAGCAGGAGTGATTTAGACTTCCATCACCTTATATATATATATATATATATATATATATATATATATATATATATATATACATGTGTTCGAGTAAGAATTAGCAGAGCAGATAATGCGAAGTTACAAATATGCATTTGCTTTGCAATGGTAACTTTCTAGTATTCATATTGCAATACCGTACACCTTAATCTCTCGCCGTTGTACATAGAACATTTTTTTCGGGCCACAAGGCGTTATACATTTAAATTATGTTTTCATATATCAGACTTTTCTTGATCCTTTGGAATGCTTGAGTAAGAATGGTCTTATGCTACGTCAATAATTTTTTGTATTATCTGAAGCGTATAATCCTAGTAATATTCTGAAACATAGACTAGTGTTAATTAAAGATCAAGATAAAAGATGTATGACGAATATAACAAATAACGAAATGACGCCCTTGGCCTTGTCATATGAGTGGGGCGCAGAGATTATATCAGGAAATTATCTGTCACGTAGACATGAATAATTAAAGGTAATATTATATGCTTGTCCTACAAGGCATGTGTACAACTTTATTTATGTTTTGGGAAATCAAGCTCACATGTTGAGACATATGCTTCGGGCTCGGATCCAATATTTGAAATGTAATTCGTTTTCCCCCTACGGTCTAGTACTTCGTGTGTTCAGTGACATAGCGAGGCCAAAGTGAAAAAATTCCCTGGAAGCATCTTTGAAAGCACATTACAGAAGAATTAAGCATTGCTGACCATTGAAACGCCATACACTGTTAGAACATGCGAAGTACAGTCAGTGAAAATTTCTGTGTCATACCTTGTCGGGAAGTTGAATTTTATTGCTTGTGAAAATGGGAAAAAATTACAAAAATCGGCTTACACGGGACATCGACAGTGTTCATGTTAGGTCTGGTACGACGTTGTGTTTCGTATGGCGATGTGTCTTGGAACGCGTGACTAGGCCACAGGAAGTTAATTTTATGGATGACATCCTCCACAGACTCTAAATCTAGTGCGATGGGGTGAAAAAACAAGCAAGGCAGGCAAAGAAAAAACAAGATTCCTACATTTTCAAATGTACCTTGTTAAACAAGCCAATGCAACTATTACAACATTCATTTCTCACTGAAACAACTTTCAAAAATAAAAGTTTTTAATCATCGTATATCAATATTTCACTTTTCCGGCGACTCAGCGCAGAGTGAGAATAAGTTGCGCCAGGAATTTTTAGGAGGCTTTTAAAAAGAATGTAAACAAACAACATGGCCGCGATCCGCGCTATCGCCGAGGAGTTGGCAGTTTTCCAACACGTTTTTGCAGCGCAATGACGTTGATGTTTTACTCCCCAAATCTTATTATGAGCCCATGTTTACTTTTAGCGCAAGAAAATGTGTAAAAAAGCAATGTTTGAAATTGTGAAAATCTTACATAATGTCGCTTTAACATTGGAGAGGGAATCATTCTGCATTTCTTATGTTTACCGAAGGAAAACATATTGTTTTTGCTCTATTTCCTCTTCTTCTCCAAACCAATAAGGTCAATGAACTGAACCAGACATCTGTCACCATGGTAACTGGTGTTGGGTTACATAATTTTGCAATTTTATAGCAATAGGGATTTAGGTACCGTCTGACCATATATATCAATTTGTTTGAGTAAGAATTAACAGAGCAGACCATATGCGAAGGTAAACATTATGTATTTGCTTTGCAAATGTTACCTTTCTAGTAAAAATAATGGCTTTTAGGTCTGCATGACGTTTTTCCTCTTCCTCTTACCGACCAGACGATGCATGCTGCAGACGGATGACGCAGACCTGTAGAGCAGGACCAGACGGAACCAATCTCTACATTCAGTTGGCGCCTTTCTTCTGACGGTGCGAACTGTTGCACGCAACTTGCAGGCTACAGCCCGTAGGTTCAAAGCAGCCAGCACCATGCGTCATGTTGTGTTCTGTTTGGTCATCATTCACACTGCGATGTTACCAGTACCTTCTACTGCAACAACGACATCGCAGGACCCTCCCGAAACATGCGGCCCATCTGATATAGGGGATGTAGAGTTAGTCACAGATGAACTGAACCGACGTACAGTCTACATTGGTGGGTTGTTTGCCCTAAGCGGGTCTCCATACGCTTCGGAAGGCTACTCTAAACTGACTGCAGCCCGCCTTGCCATCAAACACGTCAACGAAGCACAGTTGATTCCTGGCATACAGCTCAAGATGTTCTGCAACAATACTCAGGTAAGATCTTACAATTGCAAGTTGTTTTTTTTTCTTGAAAAGAAAAGATCTTAGATAAACATACATTGAAACATACCATCTGTATTGGAGAGACTACCTGAGGTAGTGTACGAGATGACTCGAATTGACGTTATGATTAAAAAAAAATGACAAAGAGTTTGGTACCCATTGCCTTCCATTGTAGTTTCCGTACTGTGCCAGTGTAGTTTCAGAGACATGTGTTATCACCGTCCAAAAACACAATAATTGAATCTTTATTTGCATGTTCATGCCCATGGGGCTAAATGCATACATCAGAATGTGATGTTACATGTACATCGTACTGAGTAACATGATACATAGGATACAAGGATAACAGAATAACAGAATGACGCACAGTCTTAACAACTACTAGAGAATAAACTAATATAGGCCTTGAGGATTTCTTCTCTCTTTTTGAAGCAATTGGAGATAAATTCACAAAGTTTTTCTATTGTATAGTCATTACTGGTAGACATGAGATGACTGAATACCTCTTTCTTTGTTCTACCTTTATACAGTTTGTCTAAGTGGATTACTCTAAATAGTTTGTCACGTTCAATATCATACAATCTACAATCAAGTACAAAATGTATTTCATCTTCTACGCTACCAGAGTTACAAACCTTACAGAGCACAAACACTCTGGAATCGTGGATAAGAGAAGACGTTTCACCAAATTCAGAGGTTATTGTTTTGATGTTACTTCACGTGGAGTCACCTAGGCTAAGCAATCAGCTCTTTTCATATGTCAGGATTCATTACAAAGCTCATTAAAACTACGACGGTTCGTTGGATCTACAACGTAATGACGTAGATAGATCAACGACGTTTGTAGCAAAGACGTGATCAGATATGGATTGTAGTCATATCTAAGTGCTCTTGATTGTAATTGGTATAACAGCCATAAAGGGTTTGGTCTCAAATTGTTCGTTTTATAACAACGTTCGAAATGAGCTGTATATTTAAACTTCTACAATTTATCCCAATTTCTCTAAACTTACTCACAAAGAAAAAAAATATTCTTCTGTTAACTTCCCAAAACCCACAAATTTTGGAAAAGGTGGGGCATTACGTCTTCCACGGTTTACAAAAGAGAAGTCAAACCCTTCAGACATAGGTTTAGACATAACTATTGATTTATTCAACTATTTTTTTCATTATGTAGATTTTAGTTATTGTACAATCTGTTTCAATATTGTTGCATGTTTATGAGTTGCAATTAGCCTCCGGGCACGAATTGCAATAAACTTCTCAATTAGGTAATATTATCCCGGCGACAACACAGTGTGACTGTGATTCTCATGGTAAACGAAGGGCCAACGAGGCTTTAGCAGTTTTATTTGCAGATCCATGGTGAATAAAGATCTAGTTTATTTATCTTTTGACAGTATTTTGTATTTAAAGAAAAAACCACAGCAAGTAATTTTTATGGATGACATCAGCGCGCGAATTGAGTTTCGCCTGATGTTTGGGAAAAAAATTTGCAGATAAATATGAAGAGAGGAAACAAGACAAGGCTATAGTTTATTGTTTTGTCTTTAACTTTGATGCAGTGATGCATTTCATTCCTTTTATACGTGATGTGCCCACTGAATCAGAACCATTTGTACAACTAAAAACTTTTTTCAGTGACAATGGATGTTATAATAGTTGGCAGTTAACAATATAGGTATCATTTCTTGTTTAACAAACTTTATGATGCCAAAACTTGGATATGTAGAAATCTTGTTTATTTTTGGCCCGCCTTGTTTTTTTCGCCCCATCGCATTAGAGTTGGAGTCTGTGGAGGATGGCATCCATGCATAAAATATACTTGCTGTGGCCTAAGGATCGTCGATGTTAACTAGTTTGCTTTACAGTCATCCTCTTATTTTGTTCATGTCAGTTCAATACCCAGGACTCGTGATATTACATCTGTCAAAAAGTTCTACTCAACATTACAAAACGCCCAAATGACCCTCTTTTTCTTTGCTTTCTATATTGAGAATGGACGTGTGATAATATGATATAGAACTTGTACAATTCATATAGATTCATAATGTGGCGGTACACGTTTCTATCTTGATATCAAAATCTAATCATCGTTGAGTGAGCTGAGACAGAATTATGGTTATGTTCTGGCAATCAATATTTTTCTATTTCGGACATTGAAATGTATCATGGTAAAACAAGCTAGTCGAAGTACACTCATATTTCTGTCATTGATACGACTATCTCGTGCACAGCGTTCTATTATTAGAGTGAGTGCGACAGATTACTGCACGGTGATGGTTAGTGCTGTGTACCGGTTCGCTGGAACTAGTTCAGGACTTGTAAAAATGTTTAGGTTCAAGTAAAAAAAAATCCTGAACGCCTGGAACTAGACTTTAAAAATTATGTCACATTCCCCTTTTGTTCTAAACCCCTTGAAATCTTTAATAGTCATAATTTTGCATTGCAAAATGGATAAAACATTTGGCATCGTCAAGTGTCGGACTCCGTAAATTATGTTGCCACAGTTTTGCCCAGACGTGCTCACAAACAACAATTATCTTGCTTCTAAACTATGGTAGTGCAGTACTCGCTACAATATTTTGCGGTAAAGATGACCCATTTTCCATTGGGAAATGTTCACTGAGAACTCCCCTCCATATTTTGTGTATGACCTGGGTTTAGGTCAGGACTTACAAGTCCAGACCTAAACCTAAAGGTGACCTAATCCTAAACCTCTGGAGTTGAATCCGGACCTGGACCTGAACATGGGTTTAGGTACTCAGCACTGGTGATGGTTCAACGGTAGGTAGATCCTAACACACCAAGACGTCATGATAGATAGCCCGTACTAAACCACCGGGTAGGGTGAGTGCCAGAAGACCTCTAATATCAGAACCACATCGTGAGGATATGAACCTGGGGCCAAAAGAAAAGTAACCCATTTTTCTTCCCTCACCACAGGTTTTATCACCTTTCCAACTGCCTGATGAATGCAATCCATCTTGTTTTCTCTGCTATTCTATAATCTTATGTATGATTATGGTTCTGCAACTTCGTGCCCTCTCCAACTGATATAACGAAAGAGCTTCATTGCACGACAATTGCACATGGTACAATGCATGGCAAAGTACAAAAAGGAATTGAATAAGACCTGATATACAATAAAACCTACAAAATCGTAATTACTCAAACAACAAGGGCTAGCACAACTTGATATATGGTTACAATCAAGTGGGGGCTAATCACGAGTTTCGTTTTTTTTCTAATGACAAAGCAGTCTTATATATTTACTTATTTTTGCATGGTGGGAATCACTGCATGTAAAGATATATTCAAATCTGTCTCTAGCATCGAGACATCTGTTGTACTTGCAACAAGACTCTTGAAATCTGTTGTACTTTATATGTGTGAATAAGGTCCTATCTATGGCCGTCATCATTTGCATAAATTACGTCGGCTGATGACCTTCTCTATCCAAATAACCTAATTTGACCAAAGTATGAAAGTTTGAATAGACACACAGTATTCTTGTGTTAAAACATCTATCACTATCAGGGCTTATCAGGCCTGGCCAGTGGAAGGGCTGCTAGAATTGTGATGTGGTCAAACTAGTTGTATTCCCTCCGTAAATAGTTTCATCAGGTTGGTAAACGAATGAATAGCAAAGTTCTTTGATCACAACCATTTATTTTTCACGGGCCGACGTTTCGATGACCTTCTGTCATCTTCATCAGGGCAATTCTGACTGGTTTACTGTGCACTGATGACGCTAGATATTACTTGGTGCATAGTGCACTAAAGGTGTTAGTTATGTTTACCGAAGGAAAACATATTGTTTTTACTCAGTTTCTTCCTCCTCTTCTATTCCAAACACTAACCTCTGACCTGGCCAATGGCATGATTTGTTGACGTCTGTCACCATGGTGACTGGTGTTGGGTTACATAATGTTGCAATTTCATGGTCTGCTCTACTCCTGTCACTATATACTAGTAGTACATGTATGTAAATGTGTTTGAGTAAAAATTAACAGAGCAGACCATGTCCGAAGGTAAACATTATGCATTTGCTTTGCAAATGTTACTTCTCTAGTTGTATTTCCGTCTTTTGACCTTGTGAGAAACGGCCTAAGTTGCAGTGGCTACTGTATCAGTGGTGCATGGATAATCCTGAATGACAGGGCGCCAGAAACTGGGTCCAGCTAATCTCTCTCCCGAAACTGAGGGATTACCAGGGAAAACTTGTACATCCACCTACAAAAGATACGGTTTTAGTTCGCAATCCTAACATCAATCAAACGGCAATGCCGTAGCAGCAACGCTCTAAATAAGTCTAATGTAATGCACGTAGCCAACTACATGCTCTAGTCCGTAGGCATCGCGTTCCTAACAATTTCGTTTGGAACACACCAAGTAATTTTTATGGATGGCGTCTTCTTGAGAACCTAAATGTAATGCGAGAGTGCGAAAAAAATGATGAACAAATATATACATAATAAAACTAGTTATCATTAGATAAATTCAACTTCTCCTCGCTTTTCAGTTATAGTAGAGATATAAAGAAACAGATATGTTTTTCGGTGGAAGATTTGTCTAGTTGCATTAGGAATATGAACTTTTCTACAGTGCTCAAGTGTATGAAGTACGGAAGTAGGTTTTGTACAAACCTATACAGTTTATTTCTCTCCTTACTATACAATCTACGTTCTATAACAATGTGATATGAAAAAAATTTAAAAAATCTAAAAAAAAAAATATTAGCTTCAGCTAGAGTTTCCACCTCTGTGTATTGTACCATGAACTTTGTTGTTTCAATAAATAAAAAAAAACGATGTGACATTCGTCCTCTATTCTATTTAACATTTACATAATCTTTGTTCCAGATTGCAGATGCTATAATAGCTACTAGTGGAGTACAAAAGCTGTAATAACGTGCAAATTGCCTTTCCTTTTGATTTTACATAAGCGGTTCTTGTTTGTTTGGTTCGTATTCAGAAAGATAATTTAGAAAGACAAGAGGAGAAGCCTTCCTAATTACAACGCTAATTGTATCATTATATAGTAATGAATGTTTGCTATTGCATTAAAATTGCTAATCAAGATTACTCCTGTATGAGTATGCTCTTTAAGCAACTGTGAAATTAGTTTGATAAATGGTAGAAAAGAAATGATAATAAGAGAAGTAACATTTGCAAAGCAAATACATTTTATTAATGTTTACCTTCAGACATGGTCTGCCCTGTTAATTTTTACTCAAACACATTCACATACGTGTGGTACGAGTATATGGTGACAGGAGTTGAGCAGACCGTAAAATTACAACATTATGTAACCCAACACCAGTCACCATGGTGACAGACGTCAACAAATCATGTCATTGGGTAGGTCAGAGGTTAGTGTTTGGAACAGAAGAGGAGGAAGAAACTGAGTAAAACAATATGTTTTCCTTCGGTAAACATAATAAAAACAAGTATAAAACATAGCAAAAATGAATTCTTCTTTACGTTTTGAATCGTCAATTAGAAGACTATTTTAATATACTTACAACACTCTTTTGAGTCAACGGTTTCTAGTATGGTAGAATAATTTTTCGAAACTTCACACAGCTTTGATGTATGTACCATGAGATATCACTTAAGAGCTGAAGAGAATGAATCTTAAAGAACACTGTTGACCTTTTGAGCGATCTTCTGAATGTTAATAAGGACCTATCCACGTAATAACGTAATCTTTTCCGCATCGTGAGCAATCGGAGGCAGTATTTTATTTCCAGTCCATTAAAGAGCTTTTACAAGTGGCTGTGATGGTGATAACTGTCCGTTAATGGACTGGGTCGGCGGTACTCCGTCATAGGAAATAACTTGTTGGACAAACATCTGGCTATCACGAACACTCGTGTCTATATTTAAAGTTAATGGAAAATATGTCAAACATTTGGCATAACTTTATTTCAAACCTGATATAGGAAGGCCAAGGCCTTTAAGGAAAAAAGACTTGTTTGACAACATCTGAACATCATTAGATTATGAAAAATTTAAACTATTCTCCAACTCATAAATTTGACTCACCGGAATTTTCGACTGAATCACTCAGTCTTCCTCAAATGCTGGGGACACGTGATGGATCAAAGGTTGTCTGAAGTCGATATCGCCCCCCGTCCCGGTTGAGCGATGGTTGAAGTGCCGTGATATAAATGGCCTATTTTATGCATCTTAACATCATTAGGGTTAATGGAAAATATGTCAAACACATTTGGCGTAACTTTCCAACTTCACCTAAGAAGGTCTATGCATTTCTTGTAGTTTCGTTTCAGCAAATCATAGAGGCTGTGACACGTTATATTTGTGCCTTTTGTATCTTATGGAAGAACTTTAGTAGCTTTTACAAGTGGCTGTGATGGTGATAACTGCCCGTTAATGGACTGGGTCGGCGGTACTCCGTCATAGGAAATAACTTGTTGGACAAACATCTGGCTATCATGAACACTCGTGTCTATATTTAAAGTTAATGGAAAATGTGTCAAACATGTAACAGTTGGTATAACTTTATTTCTACCTGACATAGGAAGGCCCAGCTGCTTTTAACCCTATCTAGACCGAGGGGGTGGAGCTTAAAGTGCCCATGCCAACTTTGATGTCACATAGCGTCTGAACGGCTTGCGCTAGAACGACCAAAATTTTCCTAGAATATTGTTGGCAACAATTCTGTATCATTGGAATAAGATAATATTTTTGTGTTGCCATGGCAACGGGTTTCTGACAGGCATTTGTTTGCTAAATTTAGTAATTTTCGTTTCAACAATAGAATTTAATGAGTTTTATGTCAAGTTACACATTGTTTCTAATATTAATAACATCCCATATAATTTTATGTAAAGTTTATCATTAAAATGCATAATTTATGCTAATTTGCCCACCAAGCCCAAAAAAGCCCGGTCTAGATAGTGTTAAGGAAAAAAACTTGTTTGACACCATCTGAACAGAATTAGGGTTAATGGAAAATATGTCAAACACATTTGGCGTAACTTTCCAACCTGACCTAGGAAGGTTGATGCATTTCTTGTAGTTTTAAGGAAATAATGTGTTTGACAACATCTGGCTATTATCATATAGTGTCTTTATTTATAGTTAATGGAAAATATGTCAAACATTTGGCATAACTTTCCAACCTGACCTAGGAAGGTCGATGCATTTATTGTAGTTTTATTTCAGCAAATCATAGTGGTTGTGACACATCATATTTCTGCCTTTTGTATCTTATGGAAGAACTAGTAGCTTTTACAAGTGGCTGTGATGGTGATAACTGCCCGTTAATGGACTGGGTCGGCGGTACTCCGTCATAGGAAATAACTTGTTGGACAAACATCTGGCTATCATGAACACTCGTGTCTATATTTAAAGTTAATGGAAAATATGTCAAACATTTGGTATAACTTTATTTCAAAAAAGACTTTTATTTTAAACTGTTCTCCAAGTCATAAATTTGACTCACCAGGATTTTTGACTGAATCACTCAGTCTTCCTCAGCTATCCGACCCAAATGCTATGGACACGTGATTTTTCCCACGTGTGACGTCATCAAAGGGTCAAAGGTTGTCTGAAGTCGATATCGCCCCCGTCCCGGTTGAGCGATGGTTGAAGTGCCCTGATGTATATGGCCTCTTTTATGCCTCTTAACATCATTAGGGTTAACGAAAAATAGTAGTTACATTTCAGCAAATCATAGAGGTTGTGACACGTTATTTTTGTGCCTTTTGTATCTTATGGAAGAACTTTAGTAGCTTTTACAAGTGGCTGTGATGGTGATAACTGCCCGTTAATGGACTGGGTCGGCGATACTCCGTCATAGGAAATAACTTGTTGGACAAACATCTGGCTATCATGAACACTCGTGTCTATATTTAAAGTTAATGGAAAATATGTCAAACATGTAACAGTTGGTATAACTTTATTTCAAAACTGACATAGGAAGGCCAAGGCCTTTAAGGAAAAAAGACTTGTTTGACAACATCTGAACATCATTAGATGATGAAAAATTTAAACTGTTCTCCAACTCATAAATTTGACTCACCGGAATTTTCGACTGAATCACTCAGTCTTCCTCAAATGCTGGGGACACGTGATGGATCAAAAGGTTGTCTGAAGTCGATATCGCCCCCCCGTCCCGGTTGAGCGATGGTTGAAGTGCCGTGATGTATATGGCCTCTTTTATGCCTCTTAACATCATTAGGGTTAATGGAAAATATGTCAAACACATTTGGCGTAACTTTCCAACTTCACCTAAGAAGGTCTATGCATTTCTTGTAGTTTCGTTTCAGCAAATCATAGAGGCTGTGACACGTTATATTTGTGCCTTTTGTATCTTATGGAAGAACTTTAGTAGCTTTTACAAGTGGCTGTGATGGTGATAACTGCCCGTTAATGGACTGGGTCGGCGGTACTCCGTCATAGGAAATAACTTGTTGGACAAACATCTGGCTATCATGAACACTCGTGTCTATATTTAAAGTTAATGGAAAATGTGTCAAACATGTAACAGTTGGTATAACTTTATTTCTACCTGACATAGGAAGGCCCAGCTGCTTTTAACCCTATCTAGACCGAGGGGGTGGAGCTTAAAGTGCCCATGCCAACTTTGATGTCACATAGCGTCTGAACGGCTTGCGCTAGAACGACCAAAATTTTCCTAGAATATTGTTGGCAACAATTCTGTATCATTGGAATAAGATAATATTTTTTGTGTTGCCATGGCAACGGGTTTCTGACAGGCATTTGTTTGCTAAATTTAGTAATTTTCGTTTCAACAATAGAATTTAATGAGTTTTATGTCAAGTTACACATTGTTTCTAATATTAATAACATCCCATATAATTTTATGTAAATTTTATCATTAAAATGCATAATTTATGCTAATTTGCCCACCAAGCCCAAAAAAGCCCGGTCTAGATAGTGTTAAGGAAAAAAAACTTGTTTGACACCATCTGAACAGAATTAGGGTTAATGGAAAATATGTCAAACACATTTGGCGTAACTTTCCAACCTGACATAGGAAGGCCAATGCATTTCTTGTAGTTTTCGGCGGTACTCAGTCATAGGAAATAACTTGTGGGACAACATCTGGCTATCATTAACACTCGTGTCTATATTTAAAGTTAATGGAAAATATGTCAAACATTTGGCATAACTTTATTTCCAACCTGGCATAGGAAGGCCAAGGCTTTTAAGGAAATAAAATATGTTTGACAACATCCTGTAAGGAAAAAAAAATATGTTTGACAATATCTTGTAAGGAAAAAATATATTTGACAACATATATTAATGCTATACTAATGAGAGAAGTGAGGAAAGTCGTGTTAAGTGCCTTTCCTAAGGCAACAAGCTCGGTGGCATGTCAGGACTCGAACCCGGGACCTCTCGGTTCCGAGTCGAGCACTCTGCCCTTACGCCACACGACCCCATGCAATTTCAAAAGCAAATGTGCAACGATCCGATGGAACTTAATCCTAGTTCTAATAAAACCCATTTATTTTGTTTCCCCAGTGTGACTCTGGTGTTGGAATAGACGCGTTTTTTGACATGATCTACCGGAAGCCCGGGATGACCATGCTGCTGGGAGCTCACTGTTCGTCCGTGTCCAAGTCTCTGGCACAGGTCGTGCCACTGTGGAACCTGGTCATGGTGAGGACAACGTTAAAGGCATTCAGTGCAGTTTTTAGGGCTTAGAAACCCGATTTTTCAAAGCCAATATTCTAGTCACATCTACATACTAAGTTAAAACCACACTAACCCAGTATATATTGACCCTCATGAAGCAGACATACCCAAAGTTCTGACGGAAAATGGTTTCTGGAAGGGCCCTGGGCTGATTTTTAGGGTACCACCCAGAAAATAAAGGACTCATCTTAGGGCTTGTTTCTGCAGTTCTACCCAAAGTATGAAATATGCTAATGTGAAGCAGCATGTGTCAATATCACAATAGATTGCCTTATTCAGAATATCTCCTGTTTTGCTGCTCTAAAATCGCATTGGGCGCCTTTAACGTTTTCATTGTCAACTAACTAAAGGCGTCAATTAACCGTGGTATCACGAACCTTTGCCAGTGATTCAGAGTTTGACACAGTCTATGAATACTGTTATTCTTGTCATTGACAAGCAAATCAAGTTTAATTTTTCTTCAAATTGGCAACAGACCAGAAATGTGAAACTTGTTATTAGACCACTGATTATTGTATAATTATGTACATGCCAATGTAAATATGCTTGCTAGGTGTCATACGCATCAACCTCGCCCGCCTTGAGCGACCGGAAGTTGTTCCCGACCTTCTTCCGGACTGAGGCGCCAGACTCCTCCCACAATGCAGCGCGTCGTGCCTTCATCCAGTACTTTGATTGGCAGAATGTGGCGGTTTTGTACCAGGACCAGGAGATGTTCTCATTGGTTCGTACAGAAATCACTCTTTTTCAAACATTTTTTTTTCAAACGCAAAATCTAATACTATTCAGGTCAAATGCAATGGTTGCTTTTTCAGTTGATGGAAGAACTTTATTGCATGACAATTGTAGAGGGTACAACGTATGGCAACAAAAACTACTGAACATAGTACAAAAAGAAAGAGTATAGAATGAAAATTAACATAATAATTACTGAACATCAAGAGATAATATATCCGTGTCGCTTGCTATATAATTTTGTTTTTGAAAAAGAAGCATGAAAACATGACCGTGACAGCAAAATATTTATCAGCCATGTCTTTTATCAGTCTGTCGATGCCATGGTCCAAGACTTCGAAGATGCCAACATCACGTTGATCTCTACAGCCAGCTTTTCTGATGACCCAACTGAGCAGATAAACAACTTGAAGGTACAGTTCTGTCGTCTATTATGTCTGTAATGCAAAATAAAACTGCTACCACCAACCAGCGACTGTGGGAGCGGACGTAAACTAACCAGGATGGAACACAGGCTAATAGTGGATCCTATCTGTAACAATCTTTTTCTATTCCAAAATTTATCACAAGACATGGTGATGACACACTCGAGTTTTTTTTTCAACTTATCTTTATGCGGCCACCAACGCAGACAAACGCACAGGCAACAGACATCTCATTTTCACCTGAGTTAAGAGAGGGAATTCGTGTTAAGTGCCTTTCCCAAGGGCACAAGATTGGTGGCATGGCAGATTTCGATCTCGGGACCTCTTGGTTCCGAGCCGAATCTAAGCTGAAACATCTGACTCCTCATGACTCAGAAAATTTAATAATAATATCCAGTTGGTTGATTTCTTTATACTTCGTAGTCTTCTACCTCAATGTCTGACATTTATCGACATGGCTGATTCAAGTTTGCAGACCAGTCAGCATAGATATGAACTCAAGTTTAAATTTATGTGTCTGTTGCAAATGATTTTGTATGACGTCCTCACAATTCAATACCCAACATATCAAATTGTTGAACCATTTTACATTTGTTACCGATGGTATCAGATGACTTGGATTCATTGTCCATGTGTGTTTTTTTTTTCAGGAAAGAGACGCTCGTATAATCATAGGCAGTTTTGGAGAAGCCATGGCCAGAACAGTATTCTGTAAGGTAGGAAATGTAACTGTACATGTACTAGTAATGATTAACAGTTGTCTAATCGTTGTAGACATCTCACAAATGAAGTCGACAATAACAAAATCTAATTATAAGACTAGAGAAGTAACATCTGTTTTCCCTCAAAATACAAAAGTTCTGCTGCAGTACCAAGGTCAACGACCAGGAGGCCCATATTTGACTTTGACCTTTGGCTTCCTAAGACCTACCAGCATACCAAATATCATCACAATCTATAAAGGCGTTCTGAAGTTATGCTGACTACAAATGTGCGGAAACACACACACACACACACACACACATACGCGCCAAAAACAATACCTCCATTTTTTCATGGAGGTACAAACTGCACTGGATGCCTCTTTACATGTTACAAACGTTATGGTATAGAATATCTTTCAAACACGACCACACAAGATTAGTCTGGCCCAGCAGTGCACAGCCAATTTTACTTACATGTAACATTTAACCTTGTGGCGCCACGATAATGAAAACAACTGTTCCCAGCAGATGGGGGAGATTGCTGTTTGATTAAGCCAAGATAAGTGCTGGATAAGGAGATAAGAGACCAGGTGCAGCTACGGGAGACCTCTTTGAAAAGACCAATTTATTATCCTTTTATTAGAAAGAGGTCACTGACATATTTGTTAGCTGTATGCTGGCTCGTGTGGCTATTTACGGCAAAATGACTGACAGAAAATGATAACAATTCAGTTGAATCGTTAATTGAATGTAAAAGAAGAAACCGTTAAAGCTACGTTGCGTCTTTTAATGATTGAAACTTTATTGCATGTTCATTCCCGGGGGGATAAATGCATGGATGTACAAAGTACAATGTACTAGAAAGGATTTACAACAATAATAAAGAAAGGCTAACATCAGGTCTAAGGTATAAAATGCTAAAATATATATTTATATAAAGTGGTATGGATCTAAGTTCTAATGTCTTCTTCTCTCTTTTTGAAACATTTTGAAATATACTTGCATACGTCATTCATGCATCTATATTTGTACATGATATGATATATTTAAAAGTGTCTTCCTTTGATAATGTTTTACATTTTTCGTCGAGCTTAATTGAACTGAACAGTTTTACGTTCGGTATCATATACTATACAGTCAAGCATAAAATGCCATTCATCTTCAATACAAGAATGGTTAATATACGGAATGAACGGAATTGAACTCATATCGTTGGTTGATCATGAAAAAAGCGATTGAAAAGTCATTCATTTTTTTTACAAGGCCAGGTGGTTAAAACATACTGGGGTGCAATGACGTTTTGATGTACGTACATGTTATGTGCCTGAATGTTACTGTGATCTCCCAATGCGGTAAGAATAATAAGATCTTTGTTAACCGCTATAAGTCCACAGCAAGTAATTTTTATGGATGACATCAGCTCGCGCATTAATTTTCACCTGATTTAAAAAAAAAGCATGTTGTTGCTCTTTGTTTGTCGTGTGTTGATGGGTTTTGTGCCTACTCCCAGGCCTTTCAGCTCGGTATGTACGGTCGTAAGTACGTGTGGATCCTGCTGGGATGGTACCGGGCCGGATGGTGGTTATCGGAAAGAGGCACGGGGTGCTCGGCGGAGCAACTGTCTGTGGCCACCGAAGGGTACTTCTCCGTCGACACGCTGGACACCGTGGACAAGAATCGAACCCTACCGAGCAAAGTCGTGCGTGACTATTGCATTAATTTATGAGACTGAAGACGAACAACATTTCATTTCTGATTGTCAACTATATAATGATAAACGCACCAAGCTGTTCAACCTTCTCTCTACTTGCTCAACGGAATTTGTTACATTTCATGATATATAGATAGATTCAATTTCATTTTAGAAGGTAATAACTCTTACTGTGTACAACTTGGTAAATATATCAAAGAATGTTTAGACCTTAAACAAGTTAATTGTCTTGTACGTAGGTTAATTTCCTTGTACCCACGTCTACCAGTATGTGTACATGTAGTTAAAGACCTTACGAAAGTCGCTGTACTTTTGTCCTGTAAATAAAGTTCTCATTATACTGGCACTGTGGGAACTTGTGAGGCACAGGGCATTTATAATAATTTGTCTAAAATGAATATTAGTTTAAGTAAAATTAAAGTCTAACCGATAAAGTTCTGATCTTTTTCTATCTGTACCACGTCTATGATGCATATATCATACATATTTCAATTTTTTTGTCTTTATAGACCGTGAAGGAAGTCCATGAGGAACTAAGCAGGCTAGATATATCCAAGGGTGGCGGCCACGTTGAAAACGCATATGACGGAGTCCTGGCAATAGCAATAACTTTAGCCGAGGCACAGAAACAGCTAACGGACCATGTAGTCAGCAGCGGTGTAGGACAGGGATTTGGGGGGCAAAACGGAACCGGAAATGGCCTGCCGAACAGCACCATGGGAGACGAAATGCCTGCTGGGAACAGGACGGTGGGAGTGGCTGACTTCGACTACCAAAACAGTGACATGAGTCAGATGTTCCAACACATCATGTTGTCACTGAAATTTACCGGGCTTTCGGTAAGCAGCACCAACATACCTGTCCTCTCTTTTGTTTCACGTTTTGTTTCATCTATACAAATGCAAAATCAAGATTGCTAAGACCAACGAATATTCTACAGGAATGGATGATAACTTTGTTTTGTTAAGATGTAACTGCCTTCCTAGTAAGAACAGAAGCAGTTGGCATAAACACAACCTTCTACTGAGTAAAGAGACTCTTTTTACATAACCAAGTCTTTTATTTAGCCGACGTTCCGGTGACCGTCTGTCACCTTCCTCAGGGCAATTCTGACTGGTTCACATTACACTGCAGCACAGGTGTCGCTGCTACAGATGCTTTCCCAAATGTACAATATTTACAAATCTACAAATATGCGTGGTTACAGGGAACTGTATCTACAATGCGGTTCCAAACGTACAGGAGTTGGATATACATGTATACATAATTTTGGTCAGTTATTAAACAAAAGCAGTTACAGAACCAGCCAGAATTGCCCTGAGGAAGGTGACAGGCGGTCACCAACACGTCAGCTGAATAAAAGACTTGGTTGTGTAAAAAGAGTCTCTTTACTCAATGACTTACCAACCTGATGAAACTATTCACGGGCTGCCTTCTACTATCTTTTTTGATATTGAAGTTAGATATACACTCACAGCTGTAGATTGAGAAGTAAGCCATTCTTTGTTTATGACATCTGTTATTTTCATGTATGTTCTAAGGGTCCGGTGTCGTTTCTTGATGGAGACAGGGTGGGACCATCAGTCTTCTACCAAAATCAAGGTACTTCATGATTCCAATATTCTACACAAATTACTAGTCAAAATCAAGTGTAGAATCTGTCTGGAACAAGCTGAGTCCTGATCTCCGCAATACTGGTGCATTAGCCACTCAATTGCCCAGCATTCAAGCGATCTCTTGTAAGAGCTACATTCACTAGATTAAATGCTCACTACAGTACTGACTTCCCTTGCTCTTGGACCACGTCTTGTGGGTGTGCCTCCTGTACAGCTTTAAGGCCTCATTAGTATTCTTACTACTATATTATTGCAATTGTATATAATGAATGATATTTTATGGCAGTGCATTGTATTGCATTTTTTATGACTATTGTATGTTATTGTAGGAATTTGTATTTCATGTCAACAATTGTTCGACTTTGTCATTTGTATTGCACTGTATTTATATTGTTGTGTTTGGGAGGACAACTCGTATAGGTGTCAATACACCTGTTTTGTCCTCCCTCCCACTTGTATGTTTGTACTTGTGGTGAATTCTAATAAACATAATTTATAAACAAATAGATTGAAGTTGCATTGTGTCATACATCATCATGTCCAACATATGAAGAAAACAGACAAAAGTTGATGCAAGTTGCATCCAAAACTAATATTACATTGCTCCATTCAAAACCAGATATCTTCATTATGCTCGATCCTTTCATGTCCTACTCAGATATCAGTGTACATTGGAAAATTCATATCTGAAACACTACAAAAGCGACACCATATTGTAAATAATTGACCTATCTCCTGAACTATAGAATGTAATAATCTCCCCAAGAAAACATTCAGTAGATTAGCTTTATTATGAATTTCCTCTGTTAGAATCGTATTTCAGTATAGCTAATGTATATATACCCTTGTTGTTTCTTCTTTGCCATACATTGTACCAGTCACAGTTGTTGAGCAATAACGTTGATTTGATTTTGTACTATCTATCTTAACAACAGAGGGAGTCATGAGAAAGGTTGCGCTATACTACAATGAAGAGGATAACCTGGATCTTCACGCCGAAGGCTGCTTCCCTGTCGTATGGCAAGGCAGGTGAACATTACGACCTCTGTCGTTGTTGCTTTTTTATTCCAAACATTTAATATTTATTTATTTATTTATTTGCATGTTCATGCCCATGGGGCTAAATGCATACATCAGAAAGTGATGTTACATGTACATCAATCTGAGTAACATGATACATAAGATACAAGAATAACAGAATAACAGAATGACGTAACGTCTTAACAACTACTAGTCAGAGAATAAACTAAACTAAGCCTTAAGGATTTCTTCTCTCTTTCTCTCTTCACAAGACGTGTTGACGGCACACTCAAGTTTTTTAAACTTATTTTTGTACCACCACAAACAAAGCGGACGATGCAGTACTCATTTCCACTTGAGCGAAGTGAGGAAAGTTGTGTAAAGTGCCTTTCCAAGACACAGGATGGCATGGCAGGGTTCGAACGTTGCACCCGTTGTTTTGTATGTACGCAATACCTGATGAAAGTCAACTACATAGAGTCACCGTAACCTGCACTAAAGCATTATCCTTATAAAACACCACAGGATAAAATACATCCGAACACTGTATGTGTACATGTAGCTGAACAAGGGTGGATACTAGCTTCGATCAAGAAGTTACTTCTACAGTGGTCACAGTCAGAAATGAGGATATCGTCGGAGTATGCCAGGACTGCATCTCATCCTAACTATGGTACAATCCATTCAGAACACAATCCATGCCAAAGGACGAATTTCCTGGGGTACTACTAAAAGAGCTATAGCTTTTACCACAGAATTGAGACCCCCGGATAAGAAATCAAAGACGCGTTAGTCGCACCACAGATGCTTACTTCTTGTCCTTTGAAAGCGCTATTGCCTGCTTTGAAGTGCAGCTATCTCATATCATCGTAAAAAGGAACGTTCTATTCAGCAATGAGTGCTCATGTGATGTGAATGCTAAGGCCGAGTGCATCATGATCGCATCAAGGTATGGACTAAAGTCTATCAGTCGTATAAAAAGCACGGCCAGAATTTGCCATAACCTGACCTTTGCTATCTCCGTTTTGAAATCGCAGTCATCGCATCAGTGAGTCGTAAAACATCTGCTTTTAAGGTCAAAATAGAGCTTTTAATAAAACATCAGAAGATGTCGTAGAGCATTTTTATGACTCTCGTGAAAGAGCTTGGCAACTGTAGTTCTCCAAAGATTACACAAATAGTATTGACAAATATATCAGCTCCAAAAATATGCCATAAAGCATTTCTATGACTCTCGTGAAAGAGGCTAGCAACTGTAGTTCTGGTAAGATTACACAAATAGTGTTGCTAAATATATCAGCTAAAAAATATGTTATAGAGCATTCTATGACTCTCGTAAAAGAGGCTGACAACTGTAGTTCTCCAAAGATTACACAAATAGTGTAGCCAAATATATCAACTAAAAAAATATGCCATAGAGCTCTGGCTCTCGTGAAAGAGGTTGGCAACTGTAGTTCTGCAAAGATTACACAAATAGTGTTGCCAAACATATCAGCTCAAAAAATATGTCATAGAGCATTTCTATGACTCTCGTGAAAAAGACTGGCAACTGTACGTATATGTAGTTCTCCAAAGATTACACAAATAGTATTGCCAAATATATCAGCTCAAAAAATATGTCATAGAGCATTTCTCTGACTCTCGTGAAAGAGGTTGGCAACTGTAGTTCTCCAAAGATTACACAAATAGTGTTGCAAAATATATCAGCTCAAAAAATGTCATAGAGCATTTCTATGACTCTCGTGAAAGAGGCTGGCAACTGTAGTTCTCCAAAGATTACACAAATAGTGTTGCAAAATATATCAGCTCAAAAAATGTCATAGAGCATTTCTATGACTCTCGTGAAAGAGGCTGGCAACTGTAGTTCTCCAAAGATTACACAAATAGTGTTGCAAAATATATCAGCTCAAAAAATGTCATAGAGCATTTCTATGACTCTCGTGAAAGAGGCTGGCAACTGTAGTTCTCCAAAGATTACACAAATAGTGTTGCCAAATATATCAGCTCCAAAAATATGTCATAGAGCATTTCTATGACTCTCGTGAAAGAGGCTGGCAACTGTAGTTCTGTTAAGATTACACAAATAGTGTTGCCAAATATATATCAGCTCAAAAAGTATGTCATAGAGCATTTCTATGACTCCCGTGAAAGAGGCTGGCAAATGTAGTTATCCAAAGATTACACAAATAGTATTGCCATTTATATAATCTCAAAAATATGTCATAGAGCATTTTTATGATTCTGGTAAAAGAGGCTGGCAATTGTAATTCTCCAAAGATTACACAAATAGTGTTGCCAAATATATCAGCTAAAAAAATATGTCATAGAGCATTTCTATGACTCTCTTGTAAGAGGCTAGCAATAGTAGTTCACCAAAGATTACACAAATAGTGTTGCCAAATATATCAGCTCCAAAAATATGTCATAGAGCATTTCTATGACTCTCGTAAAAGAGGCTGGCAACTGTAGTTCTGTTAAGATTACACAAATAGTATTGCCAAATATATCAGCTCACAAAATATGCCATAGAGCATTTCTATGACTCTCGTGAAAGAGGCTGGCAACTGTAGTTCTCCAAAGATTACACAAATTGTGTTGCCAAATATATCAGCTCACAAAATATGTCATAGAGCATTTCTATGACTCTCGTGAAAGAGGCTGGCAACTGTAGTTCCCCAAAGATGACACAAATAGTGTTGCCAAATATATCAGCTCAAAAATATGTCATAGGGCATTTCTCTGGCTCTCGTGAAAGAGGTTGGCAACTGTAGTTCTGTTAAGATTACACAAATAGTATTGCAATATATCTACTCAAATAATATGCCATAAAGCATTTCTATGACTCTCGTGAAAGAGGCTGGCAATTGTAGTTCTCCAAAGATTACACAAATGGTGTTTCCAAATATATCAGCTAAATAAAATATGTCATAGAGCATTTCTATGACCCTCGTGAAAGAGACTAGCAACTGTAGTTCTCCAAATATTACACAAATAGCATTTCCAAAGATATCAGCTCAAAAAAATGCCAAAGAGCATTTCTATGACTCTCGTGAAAGAGGCTAGCAACTGTAGTTCTCCACAGATTACACAAATAGCGTTGCCAAATATATCAGCTCAAAAAATATGCCATAAAGCATTTCCATGACTTTTGTGAAAGAGGCTAGCAACTGTAGTTCTCCAAAGATTACACAAATGGTGTTGCCAAATATATCAGTTTAAAAAAATATGTCATAGAGCATTTCTATGACTCTCTTGAAAGAGGGTGGCAACGGTAGTTCTGTTAAGATTACACAAATAGTGTTGCCAAATATATCAGCTCAAAAAGTATGTCATAGAGCATTTCTATGACTCCCGTGAAAGAGGCTGGCAAATGTAGTTCTCCAAAGATTACATAAATAGTGTTGCCAAATGATATCAGCTCAACAAATATGTCATAGAGCATTTCTATACTGGTGTGTTACGCCGAAGGGCGGTTAAACTGATACAGATACAAGATATGACTCTGGTGAAAGAGGCTAGCAATTATACTTTTCCAAAGATTTCACAAATAGTGTTGCCAAATATATCTCAGCTCCAATCTTTTCTGGGAGCTTGTATGCGGCATATGTGGTGACATATATATGTGATTGGATCAATATTACACTGCCACAAGATGACGATCTCTGGTGTGCACTAATCAGCAAACATGCATTCGTGACTGTTAGATCTATTCTCCGGAGGACATGAAGGTTACGTCCTTGACTATGGCACTGGGTCGGGCAAGGGATATTAGAAACTCCCCTGAGAACTGGCACTGATTAATCTAGGTAAAGTAGTTCAGACAGGTCTGCATATCTACAGAGTTGGGGCTCGTTCATTGACGTTCTTATGAATGAATGAATGAACTCTTTTAAAATTCTTTTTACGTGTTTTGCGACTTTTGTAAGACTTCAATATGACTTAAAACAAGTCACAAATCCTAGAAAGCACTACTATCACAACGTAAAATTCTGTTATAACATTAACTACTAGTAACATTAACAACTGTCATTCAGCAGCAGGCGGACACAGTAAGGTAGTGTACTATTTAGCATACGCTGTGTCTGGTACTTAAACTATGTCAGTTCCGTGTGCTGTTCCAAGTGTTCTATTGTGTACACCCCCTCCCTTGTGATGGCAGCCAAGTACGGTACTTCTCACTGCTTATGAGATGGTATGATTCCCGTCATTAGCAGTCTAGTGAGGCTGTGTGTGTGGGTGGCTCCAATTCGAGATCATGATTTATTCACATTTTTGGAACGTAGTGCAGGTTGTGCTTCAAGGTTAGCCCTCATATGTAGATGCCAAAGGATTCAATAACTATGAAACTAAGGTCATGTTGATTTGATTATATGGATGACATCCTCGCGCGCATAAATTTTCGGCCGTTAACACACAAAAAAGAAGGTTAAACCATACTGTAAATCGTACAAAACAGTTACAAAATGAGCAAATACATATCGTAAGTTGCAAAAAAAAATCTTGGAAAACTATACAAATGGCGTAGAATCCCAAAATCAAACGAAAATGTAAAAAAAATGAATTTGAATAGTATACTATTCGCCATACCATACTCTGTGTCATTTGTTCCACCTTCTTGACCACGTAGATTTCATAATGAAAAACTTTTTTCATTGGCACGCTTGCATCAGTTTTGGGGTTCACAGAGGATGTCATCCATATAATCAAATCAACATGGCCTTACGCCAAAAAACTGTTACTCAAGCAACTGGACATAACGGTCAGACGTTTCAGGTAGCATCCACTACCTTTCGTCAGTGACACTGGAGAGTTGTCAGAAAAGCAGGTTTATAAGTACGAACTATCAATTGATATTCAAATACGTGAAAACAATTCTTTAAGTCCAAAAGGAAGCAAAAGTTAAGCTTATTTTTCCAAAGTCCTAAAGTAAACAAACAAAAGTTAAACACTGATGTTCTGAAAAAAATACATCTAGAAGTTACTTGACTAATTTGCATCATCCTTGTCTTGACTTGACTTTTTTTTCCCTTTTGAAAAAAAAAATTGTCTTCTTTGGCGTACCTTATCATCTGGATGTCTAACCATCACTGACGTAACAATGGAACATACTCCTCTTTTTCTCTAGGCAACTCTATACCAGTGGATAAAGTAACCATTGTGGCGAAGTTTGTCTACATTGATAACAGCGCCCTCTACATTGTGGGAACCATCAGCATTACTGCAGTCGTCATGGCGCTGCACTTTCTGATCTTCAACATCAGACATCGAAATATGAAGTGAGTATGGGTTGATGTATGTAAATTTTGCTCTCTCTAACGGTAACATTAACACTAACAAATATCTCATCAATCATCCTAGTCCCTTATAGTATACAGACCACCTACTCACCTATTAACCTGAATTACCACATTTCCTTCGTTCTTTAAGTTTGTAATATTTTGTTGTGGAAATGAGCTTACTTACTATTTTTCATACATAGGTGAATAAACAATGCAAAGTAAATAATTTTTTTTCCAGATACAGGTAAATGATTTTCTTGAAAGATACAAGTAAACGATTTTCTTCCCAGATACAAGTAAATGATTTTCTTCACAGATACAAGTAAAAGATTTTCTTCACAGATATAAGTAAATCATTTTCTACAAGGATACAAGTAAAAGATTTTCTTCACAGACATAAGTAAATGCTTTTCTTCACAGATATAAGTAAATGATTTTCTTCACAGGTATAAGTAAATGATTTTCTTCAAAGATAGAAGTAAAAGATTTTCTTCACAGATATAAGTAAAAGATTTTCTTCACAGATATAAGTAAATTATTTTCTTCACAGATACAAGTAAATGCTTTTCTTCACAGATATATCAAGTTGTCCAGTCCTAAGCTGAATAACGTGATCGTGATCGGCTGTGTGCTGGTATACTGTGGTGTTATCCTGTGGGGAGCGGACGGCAACCATGTTCCCGCCGACGCCTTCCCGGTACTCTGTACGGTACGTAACGCTCAGGGGTCGGGGGGTCATTGTTTTACCCACAATGTGTCTACAAGCACTTGTGTTTTTTGTGTGTTAAATGGTTTTGTTTTTTGTTTCTGTGTTTTCTAATTTTATATGCAATTTGGTTGACATGAGTTCATGAGATGAGGTTCTCTTTTCAGGCACGTGCCTTCCTGTTCTCTTCCGGGTTCTCTCTGGCCTTCGGCGCCATGTTTGCGAAGACTTACCGTGTTCACAAGGTGGCCATCAAGCTCACATTTGTCATCGGGAACAAGGTAAGGCATCACCGTTAAATTCGAAGGAAAACCTATCATCGTTTGTTAGTTTACATTAAGCTACTTTAGTTTTTTTACTACACCCAAACATACCAAGTTAACCACTTCTTTAAACTGGCCACCTGGCCATGGTGACCGTTTTTTCAAGCATTAAGCAAGCTCTCCAAGGTGACCACCTGGCCAATCCGACCACGACCATCCTGAGTTGGGTCCGGTCAAGAAACGATAACCAAATTTTCAACTGTACAACTCCAGTCTTTGTCAAGGAATGAGCAATCCACCGCTTCCCCTCAACAAAGACGAGGGCGCCACAGACTTTCTGCAACCTATGATTTACTACTCACGGAGTCACTTGTGTTATCTGCGTGACGTCACGGAAGCGGTGGATTGACAAAGACTGGAGTTGTACAGTCGAAAGTTTGGATGAGTCCAATTTCTTTATGGTTATTTATTACTATGTTTAGATGTTACGCGATGGGAGACTACTTCTGTTTGTGGGGGCGCTGTTCTTGCTGGACGGTGTAGTCATCCTGGCCTGGCTGCTGCTGGACCCCATGCACCGCCAGGTGGAGCTGCTCCCACTTGAGGTAAGTGCAGTGCGCTCCGGACGCTTGGAAGAGTTCAATCGATCAGATTCACAAAAACCGTACTGCATGTCTTGTTTGTTTATTTTTTTTATTTCTATGTTTACCGAAGTAAAACGTTTTGTTTTTGCTCTCTTTCTTCTTCCGTTCCGAATTCCAAACACTGACCTGGTCAATGACCTGAACCAGACAGTCTGTCACCATGGTAACTGGTGTTGGGTTACATAATGTTGCAATTTTATAGCAGGGGGATTTATACTCCTGTCACCACATAATTATGTATATATGTTGGAGTTAGAATAACATAGCAGGCCATATGCCAAGATAAGCATTATGCCTTTGCTTTGCAAATGTTACCTTTCTAGTATCCACATAGATTTGCGAGCATTGGACAGAAAGCACGCAATGTTCTTTTTATGTTATAAGGATCCTTTGCTCATGAAACATGAAAACATAAATACAGGTTAGGGTAACAGACACAAAACGTATATAGTGGACATAAAATGAAAAAGGCTGGCGCACCAATAGAACATGTCTTGCATGTCTTCTTCTAGGGGAGCTAAATAAATGCTTGCCAGGCATTTTAAAAATCAAGCTTATTGTTACTTAGTCTCATGAAATAAAGACTAAGCTTTAACTTCCAACACTTAGATTACAGAAATGGGACTTACCCCAAATGTTTGTTCAAGGAATGGACCCGTCTACTCTTGGAACGTGACGTCAGAGACACGTGACCGTAGTAGCGGGTCATACGTGCCAGATAACTTGTGTCGCCCCCCGTCTCTGTTCAGGGTAGGTCTGTGAGCTCTTATGTAGACCGCCTCCTTCACTCCCCTTGCAAAGAAGTCCGATTCAGAATCGAGGATTTTAACCCCTTCCAGAGATACTGAATGTCCCGGAGATTCAATGTGAATATGTTGTAAGACCTCTGAGTTTACAGAACAAGGAGGTTCATGGAGTCAACCGAAAATTTGGGGTAAGTCCCATTTCTGTAATCTGAGTGTTGGAATTAAAGCTTAGTCTTTATTTCATAATGACTTGTACCAACACAGATGAACTTTCATGCTAAATTACCTAGTCTTATCATTAGAGAGGTTCACATGAAGAGCTTTGATACCTGAAACAAAGAATGATACGAATGTCTCTTGCACGCAGGTCTCTGGCTACAGTGAAAACGTGCTGGTCCTACCTAAGGTGGAACACTGTTCCTCCACACACATGGAGAAGTGGCTGGCTGCTATCTACATTTACAAGGGACTACTGCTCACCATAGGGGCCTTCCTAGCGTGGGAGACCAGGAAGGTAAGACGGCCTGCATGCCCTTTTTCGTAAGACGTAATCAGGCCTTTATAGTCTGTATCTGTATAGCCGGTAAAACGCCTTTCGGCGTAACACACCAGCTTCGCAGGCACGCGGCGCGGCGGCAGCTGGCTTCATTACACCGATCGACTTGTTACACCTAGCCCTAAATCTAAACATTGTTTAAAGCTATCTAATGACAATACCCCTACTGTACTTGGTGACAGTGAGTTCCACTCTGCGATAGTGCTAGGAAAGAATGAATTCTTGAACGCCTCAATCCTTGATCTCCATAATCCGTAGGCAGCCACCCAAAATCATTATATGTCGTAATCAGTATCTTAGCTGTAACGCGTAACTGCCAGTAATCAGCTCTGAGAAGCTAACGTACTTCATAATCGGTGGTGACAATTTTGCGTAATTCGTAATCAATACCCCCTTGCAGGCGCTCGGGTATTTTATTATGAGAATACTGGAAGTTTGTTGTATGGTTTAGTTTTCATTGGCATACTTGTAAGTCATAGGTGTTATGTGAAAGCCATGCCTTATTGAGCCCTTCGTAGCCTATTGCCCTCTCTGAAGATTTCATGTATCTTGGACTAGATACATGCTCACAAAATAAACCTAAATAAAGGCCGACAGGGCATTCCAGTCCAAATAAAGGCTATTCAATCATTTAAAGATGTATTCTAAATAGCTAAAACATCGTCGTCGATAACTAATAAAGGGTGTAGGTAGGATACACATAAATACTCATACATTGCCAACATTGCCGTATGTATCCTGTTGTTCTCAACATACAGGTGAGGATAATGGTAATGAATGACTCCCGCCACATCGTTCTCAACATCTACAACGTGGTGGTGATGAGCGTCATCCTGGTTGCCATTAGCAACCTGGCCGTCATGGGGCAGACGATGGCTTACGTCATCATGTCGTCATCAGTGCTGTCGTCCACGACCCTGGCCCTGTGTGTGCTGTTTGTGCCCAAGGTAAACATGGCGTTTTTTGTTTGTTTGTTTGTTTGTTTCGCATAAGGCCACACCAAGTAAATTTTATGGATGACGTCCGCGCGCGCATTGATTTTGGCCTGTTCCTATAAAAAACACAATAAATTTCGCTTCCTGTAACTATGACCAAAGAGTCACGGCAGTGCCGCAAATCGTCAGATTGACGTGAAACCCGTAACGTTAACGCGAAGAAAGTGTCTATTGACAGGACCATCCTGTCAATAACAGAAAATTTGCACTATTGACAGGACCATCCTGTCAATAACAGAAAATTTTTCACTGTCCACTGTTCCACCTGATTTATTGCTGTTTTGATGATGAATAAAAGACTTCTTGCTTGTTACACTGTGTCACCTCATTCAATTTGTGTCCTAACATTTGTCGTCTCTTGGTATATTTCTAATCTAGGCATCTTGTTTTTTAGGGCCCTTCTTGTTTTTTTTTCGCCCTCTCGCATTAGATTTAGGGTCTCCAAAGGACGTCATCCATAAAATTTACATGGTGTGGCCTAACTGGTAAACTGCCTTTATAGGCGTAACACACCAGTTTTGTACAATAAGTACAGCTGCGTAAGACCGGACTGTAAGGTTTGAACCACTCACACCGGGAAGATCCCCTACTCTTTTCGACAAGTGTGTTGGGTTCTTTAACGTGCGTGGGGTGTGGCTTTGCAGCAGAATAAAAATTTTTCTTTTAGCCTGGTCAATATAAGATAACTTTATTGCGCAACAGTTGTACAGGGTACAAAGTATGGCATCTACTAACTTAAGTAAGTACATGATATACCCACAGCTATGGTTGGATTTCTAACGTAAAAGTAATACAATATCATTATAAAAAACATTATAGGCATAGACTAGTAAAAGTTACTAGAGTTAATGAAAGTTTATTGCAAATCCATGCCCAAGGGCTAATTGCAAGAAGATGATAAAAAGATAAACATTAAAAATGATAATTATGATTAATGCTAATGCTACTTTTGATATAGTTATTGTTAATTACTACAGAAGGATTAAAATACATAACATCATACTGTGTTGGCCTAATCTACAGAGCCACAAGGTACCCACTATACACGTCAAAACAACACATAGTCACTGTGTGGTATGCCCTGAAACAGGTCCTAATGTAGATACTGTAATTTAGATAGAAGATGCACAACATGTTGTAGCAGAATGTAGTCTCTACTACAATTAGAGAGTTGAACTTTATACACTGCTAACATCAATGTATACAATACCTAATACAATGAGAGTTGTTTGTTGCAAATTAATGCCCGATGGCTAATTGCATACAGACATTGACAAGAAAAATGTGGTAATATAAGACTTTTTGCTAACATAAAGTTCTACGTGTACGATATACTTATCAAACCTACTATCTCTACTTAAACCTAATAACTTTGGTATACGTACAGGATAAACAGTAGATATGCAATATATGAACAGGTAAGAGAAATAAGGTACTAGTAACTGCTATTCTAACAGACGAATTCGCATTGCTGGTTAGCTTAGAAAATCTCTGATCCTAAAACATGTCTGTTCTTATCTTTTCAACATCATACAGAAGCGAAGAGAATTCGAGTTTACAAATAGACTATGGTGCTACTGCTAGCTAGCTTGATCGTGTGTATAGTTACATAAATGTGTATACAAGATATTCCTTTGTTGTGAGCTGTACTTATGGTAATACCATATGAAAACATGTCCAAAGAATATTACTCACACTCTTGACATTCACTACTTCAAAATTGTGTAAAATGGGGCTTTTTGGTTATTTTCGAACCAAAATTACGTACAATTCTGGCTCCTGTGCCCTAACATTAAAACCAAATGACCTGAAATTTGGTATAGGATATCCTTGGATACAATTCCACAGAACTTTATTAACACTTTTGGCATTTGTCACTTTGAAATTATTAAAAGTGGGCCTTTTTTTGCTATTTTTGACCAAAAAGTACATTTTGGCTCCTATGTACTAATAACAAAACCAAATGACCTGAAATTTAGCATAAAGGTAGCTTGGCACCAAATGCTTAGACTATAGTGTTCACTTCAGTTTCGACCCTTTAAATACTTAAATCTACCTTATTTCGAGTTAAAATAGTAAACTGCCATTTCTAAATAGAACACTCGGCCGGGTTCTACCAAGGTTCTTTATGTTCCAACAGCAGAAGGCGTTGGAAGATTCCATTGCTGCATGGGGGTATAGAGTGTTGGAACAGTTCACATTTTGAACAGGGGTGATTTAGGAACAATCCATTTGAGTGGGAGGGGGATAGGTACGGGGCTGTGGTGAAGCCTTACTGCATTTGCTCCTGAGCAAATGTTGGTCTTTCTAGGGGAAATTTGGAATGGGGAGGAAGAATGGGTGAAATATGCTGTATTTGCTCTTGAGCAAATGTCGGCCTTTCTAGTTACAATTAAGATACACTTCATTGCAGCAAGATCTCCTTATCTTAATCATATCAGTGAAAGGTAGTCATGTTGTTCATCATCACTCTTATCGTCATGATACAGTGACGTGTACACATGATACCGTTTGTCTAGAAGCAAACCCTGATACGCATGGGTATTTTCTTCCCCGCGTTCTGCGTTGGAACTAGCTTCTGCTTGTGGACGGTTCTCCTCACCACTACCACCGTACCGGCTTCCATCGCGAACCCCGGGCATGGCTATCTCATCTACGGGTACGAGGTATCCATGTTCGTCTTCAGGAAGAATGTTCTGATACTGGGGACTCGAATCTTCCCCAGTTTCGCTATCAGGAACGTAGTCGTCATCATTTTCACCTTCATTCTGTTCAACGTCCCGACTAGGATCTTCTGCATCTTGCTGTGTTTGTTTCCTTTTGTGCATACAGTAGACAACACTAGCTACAATACACAGAACAAAGCCACAGACGAAGGAACCAACTGCTATATATATTATTGCACCGTTTCCAGAATCTTCTACTTCAAATGAGGGAGTATGGACAGATGATGTAATAACAGCAATGGCTGGAGAAGTAGCAGTAGCTGGAGGAGTAGCAGCAGCTGGAGAAGTAGCAGTAGCTGGAGGAGTAGCAGCAGCTGAAGAATTAGTAACAGCTGGAGAAGTAGCAGCAGCTGGAGGAATAGCAGCAGCTGGAGGAATAGTAGCAGCTGGAGAAGTAGCAGCAGCTGGAGGAATAGCAGCAGCTGAAGAATTAGTAACAGCTGGAGAAGTAGCAGCAGCTGGAGACTTAGTAACAGCTGGAGAAGTAGCAGCAGCTGGAGAAGTAGCAGCAGCTGGAGAAGTAGCAGCAGCTGGAGACTTATTAGTAACAGCTGGAGAAGAAGAAGAACACCTCAAGTCATTTGCGCTCAGAGATCTGAGGCGCTGGCCCTTCAAGGCTGGTGGGGATTGGCAAAAGACACGGTTGGTCCAGTCTGAGAATCTCCAGACGTCCTTCATATGACAGTCACAGAACCACGGGTTGGGATTCACAGTCAAAATTTTCTGACTAAACCCTTCAAATATGTCATACGGCAATGTTGTTATGTGATTATTATGCAGTAGGAGTCTAGACAGTTTGCTTAAGGCTGCAAATGTGTTACGGGGTAATGTTGTGAGTTTGTTATGTCCAAGATTGAGGAACTCAAGTTCCGTTAAGTGCTGGAAACTTCCTGGCTCTACTACACTTATGTTGTTCCAATTCAAACGCAGTTCTTGTAGCATCTGTAGACCAACAAAAGTACGGGATTTGATTATGGTTATTTGGTTGTTGTTGAGGTGAAGAATTGTTAGAGATTTTAGTGTCTGAAACTTTCCAGGTTGAAGGTCGGTGATCCTGTTGTTTTGGAGAGTGAGATATGGTGGGGATGTTGGGATGTCGTCAGGAACTGTGGCCAAATTTATTCTGTTGCAGTTGACCTTTGCACTGCTGCAGATGCATGGCCCTCCCCGTGTCTTACAGGCTGGTACAGCTGCTGCCAGGTGCATCAGAGCCATGCAGGTGGCTATGAAGACTGTCAGGTGACACATCTCTGCTGGATATCCTGCTGTGTGGGATATGGGAAGTCAATAATATTAGATTTGTAACAAAATTGGGCGAACTGGATGTTGCTCTGCAGTCTGCAGGCAACGTTTCTTCTACGTTAAAGAATAATACCAGCAGTAGTAATAAGGATAATGATAATGGTCATGTTCATTACGTATTCTGTATCGGTATAGCCGGTATTACCGCCCTTCGGTGTAACACACCAGCTTCGCAGGCACGCGGCGCGGCGGCAGCTAGCTATATCACATCGAATGACTCAACCTTTTCACATTTGATTGCAGGAGTTGTTTAAAGCTTTCTAGTGATGATGCCCCAACTGTGCTTGGCCGGGCAACGAGTATTCTTGGCCAAAAGCAAGAATAAATGCAAAGATGACCACATGTTGTCCCCATTGATGTCCCCATTCAAGATTCAGGGTGTACATCATTATTTATACAAATAATATCAAACTAACATAAAACAGGTCTAGTGATGTTAACCTTTATCTAACTTACACATGTCACAAACATAATATCCCCATCAATTTACCAAAAGAGATTTATAGGATTTTAGCAGTGATTATGAAAATTAGGTCCTTATTTTCATAAGGACCCCAACTATACCACCAAATTGAGACCAGAAAACAGTCAAAAAGTCCCAAATTCAAAATTAAAAGTTTAAGGGAGAGTATGCCAAAAATTATAATGAATGTCATGGGTAATTTGGGTGAAATACTAGGTCTTTAGGACCCCAATTATGTTCAGATTTTGTCAAAAAATTTAACCCAAATAAAACAACTTTTACAGCCTTTAAAATGATAAAAAAAAACGCCTGGGGGTATTTCCCCACTCTACCTCCGTGAAATTTCAGGACATTTGGCTGAAAAATGGCAGAGTTGAATCCGTTTGAAAAAATGGCAGGAGGAAAAGAAGAAACATTATGTTTCCTCACACGCCATAACGAGGAAATTCTATGGTATGAATCACCCCGCGCTTTCCTCATCTGGTTAGTTCCCATACTCCACATGCCGACACATGATACGGATGATGCAATCTCTATATCTATAGTTACTTCCTGAAGGCTAACACTTGTTCCATCTTGCAGACGCCTAAGAAAATATAGGCCCCCCTGGAAATTTTGAAAAATGAACCTTCTGAAATGCCATGCCCTGCGTTTTTAGAGGATTTCAAAGAAAGAAAAAAATTCAATGACAAAGTGAGCCGTTTTCCTACGATTCCAGCCTCGCTGGTGACACGAATCAGTCCATTTTTAAAAGAAAATCTTGGACCTTTAAAGTAAAAAGTGGATAAAAAGTGGACCAAAAAGTGGACCTTTGAGCCTTGTGTGT